CAGATGCAGATAAGACAAACAACCAGGAAATTAGCCCTTCACAAAAATGTCATTAAGCCATTAGCTTAATGGGTGTTTTTTACGGGAAAAATAGCACGTAAATTTACCGGACCTATATTGGTCCCGTATCATTACTGGTTTTACTAAATTTAACGACATCTTTTACTGAGAAGTGAAAAAAACTATTTTTCTTCACGTAATTCGTTCTAATGCGCTTTGTTAACCTCTGATGTACACTTTTGTGAAAAAAGAAGAACTATCATTTTCAGTAGATATTGAAGGAAAATAACGTTTGCATGCAAATTTCATTTTTTGAGAGGCTTAAAAGTGTTCGAAACGACTTTTACCTTTCTTTACACTGGCCGATGGTTACACTGGCCGATGGTTAACTTAAAAAAAAAAGAGTGAATCATTAATAAAGTACTACATCAAGGTTACGTGCGCCCTTAAGTAGCCCGTAAGTTACCACGTAAAATAGTAACTTACGAGAATGCTAAGTGCGCTCCATGCAACACGTAAGTGTACCCATAACGGATTCGTAAGTGACCTACTTAAGTGGGCACTTAAAGTGTAGGTTTTATCCAACCGGGCCCTGAACGCTGGGGCTTCCAGATTAAGTTCAGCTAATTTCTCCACCCTAACTCTGTGGCAGGATAGCTCTAAGGGATAGAGCTGCTGTATCACTCTCTCTAAAAAGTTGTCTTCCAGGCTTACAGCCTGGCTACCCTTATGATCCCGTCATTTCCCGCAATTAGTTCCTCAACAATCCTGAGTTTCTATTTGGCACCGTTTCGGTCATTGTCCTTTATAATCACCACCTCTCCCTTGGTCAAAGGTGTGGATTTCTCACTGTGTTTCATCTTGTGATGCTCTCTCAACCCTCGCAGATACTCCCTGACCACCTGGACCACAGGGCTTGTTTACAGCTTTGTGGATATCTTGCTTGCTTGCAGAGGTCTGCGTCCTTGAGGTGATTTGCCTTTAATTCTGGCAGCCTATTTGACCTTTGGAAAAGAAATGAATTTGGTGTCAGCAATGGTTGCTGCACTTCTTCTTCAACATAGCTTAAGGGTCTGCTGTTTACAGCTATCTCCGCGTCCAGCATGACCTCGGGTAACTCCTTCCACGTAAGCATGCCACTTCCGATGGTCTTGTTGAGGGATGACTTGACCAGTCAGGTAAGATGCTCGAACTGGCCTCCCCACCAGGAGGGTCGACTTAGATTAAACTGCCACTTCATGTTTTGATGAGCTAGGTAGTCTTGCACTTGCTCATCGTGCATTATTTGCTTCAGCCATTTCTCGGTACCAACAAAGGTCTTTCCGTTGTCCGAGTAAATCTTCATAGGACGTCCACGGCATGCTATAAATCCTTTCAGGCTGCGTATGAATTCACTTGTCTCAAGACTCTGTTTCACATCTAGGTAAACGGCTCTCGTCAGGCTGTACGAGTACAATGCGATGTATGCTTTCCCCTCCGTCTTGGACCTCCTGATGTGGTACTTAAGTGGGCCCGCGAAATTGACTCCTATAATGACTTTGAGAGGAGTGCTCCCTTGAGTACGATCCAGTGGTAGTGGTCCGGGATGTGGGTTGCGGAGTGCAATCGCTTGAAACCACTTGCAACCCGCACAGGACTTGATTACTTGGTTTGTAAGTTTTCTGAGACGTGGTACCCAGTGGCATTCGGAAACTTTAGCCATAAAGTCAGTGTCACTCCCCCATGTAGTGTATCCAAGTGTGATCGCTTCACCAGCTTTTGAGTATAGATGGTTGTGTCATCTAGGTATATGGAATAACTTCCTTGAATTCTTCCTCTGCATTCTAGCACCCCATGCATCGTGATTGGTTTGGGCATTCAAATGTATCATGTCTCTCTTGTAGTTATTTGTTGATCTTGCCTGTTGCAGAGCTCGCTGGATCCAAAACATTCTTTGACTCTCAATCTCTTCAGTAGTAAGGGGACCCTTAACTCGTTGATTGATCGCGCGTTCTTCACAAACCTCGCGATCCATGTGCCCACGCGCAGTGTACGCCACAATTTGTGTTTCTTTAACAGCTTGTCGAGGTTGTCACTTGCAGACTTGGTTTGTGCCACCTTTAATACTTCATGAATTGTTTTGGCCTCTACTTCTGTGACTGGCGATGCTGACATTACGGGATTGGGTGGCCATTCCTCTTCTTTCGATAATTACTTGGGTCCACACCACCAGAGGCTAGATTCACTCACTGGTCCCCCACGGCTAGCCAAGTCAGCTGGATTTTCCTCAGAGCTTACGTGCTGCCAAACGATGTTTTCATGCTCTTTGATCTTCATCACTGTTTTGAATAAACTGCTTATAGTCCCCTCTTCCTGAGATCCAGTGTAGTGCCATCGTACTGTCTAGCCGGACATACGTTTTTGAGACTAGTAGACCCTCCAACGCATTTTTTACATTGGTAATCAAGTTTGTCCCCATGTGGGCAGCAACCTGTTTTAGCCGAGGTATTGAAAGTCTTTCTTTATCAGCTACTAGGCGTTGAGTCGTCCACGACTGTGGCCCCCACAACTTGTTTACTCCCATCACCAAAAGCATGCAACTCGACGTTTTGCAATGGTTCCTGGTAGCTCACTATTGACTTAGGCACCAACTGTCGCAAAGGTAGGGACTGCTCCCACTTCTTCCGTCTCGGTGCGATTGGTTCCTTCAGCTTATCATCCCAGGGTTGCTTCTCATCACAAACATCTCTAAATATCAGCTTTCCCTTGAGCGTTACAGGAGAGACCAGACCCAAGGGTTCATGAATTTTACCAGCTTGCGTAGAACTCCTCTTTTGCTCAACTCAGTCACTTTGGTTGGAAACTTAACGCTTAATTCATCTTTTCGCTTGGCTTCCCTCTGGTGGTTGGAGTTGCTGTTTGGCAAACGTCAATTCACTGTAGTTACTCTTAATGTTTCCCTCCTGCTGTGGGACATTTGAATGCAACTTATGTTGGGTAAACCTTTCGGAACTGTGCTTGTTGTGCTGTTGCTCCACCAGACAGAAGATCATCTACACACAGGTTTCTTTTGAGCCACAAGTTCTGTATTTTTGTTTCCCATGTCTCAAGGTGACAGTCAATGACTCTGCACTGGTAAGAATGCCTTCTTTAAATCTCCAGCTACTGCTATGGGATAAGACCACTGACGCACAAGAACATCCCAGAGTTTGTTTTACAACAGTGGCCCAGTGTTGAGACAATCATTGAGGGACAGTGCTGATGGTTTCGCTCGAGTAGATGCGTCATAAACAATCCGCATTTTTGTGGACTTGGCATTCTCCCTCACCACTGGTTTATGAGGGATATAAAACTCAACCCCCTGGGCAGGTCGCTCGGCGATCTCGACTACACCCTGCTCCTGAGATAATACTGTCATATTCTTCTCTCTGTCCTGCCTGGTCTAATTTGTGTGTAAGTACATGTAGTTGCTGCAGACTTCCCTTCGCATTGTTGGGCAAGTTTGAACGATCTCCGTTCCAGGGTAAGCCAGTTTCGTACCAGCCCTCACCAGACCTGACTAACTGCTCTTTACACCCGCTCTACACGGCTCAGTGATCATAAGGTCGAGTGTTGGCTAGTAGCCCTAGAACGTCCATTTGGCAGAATTCCTCATATTTCAGTTGGGACCTCTAAGTTAGCATCATCGCTGTCCAATCAAACTCCTGTCCAGGGGACATCACGAACCACCCTATTTTGGTGAGTACAGCAACCGGGCTTTTCTCTCCCCACGTGTGGTCGTGTCCCTGTTTTGATCCTTGCGTATTTTCCGGCCCCCAGCACCACATGAACAGGCAACTGAGGTTTGGTGTCTCGGTCACGCACTTTCACTCCCTTTAAATGTGGATACTTTGCAATCACTGCTTCATAGTTGTCTATTGTCAACAGTTCTCCCTTTTCCACCTTGATTAAGTTTACGTTCATTTTGAAATTCCCACAAACTGATGTAACCGAGGTTTTATGTTTCAAGGGGTGCCATTGACGTTCCCATCAACATGTCCACTTGCTTGACTTCCACATTTACAGGTTTAATCTTCAGAAAGCCAATCCGATTCACTAAATTGTAAGAGCTTCCCGCACCAGTGTTGATTAACACACGACACTCGACAACACTTACTTTCAAATTCACGACTGGAAAAATGCCATCTCCCTTTTCTGAGGTGGTTAGTGCTAATTCTTGCTGTGACCCCCTTCGGTCACAAATATAGGTATGATGTCGGCGTTTGCATGTACGGCATGAAGATCTGCTGTAGCAATTTGGGGCTTCGTGACTGCCACATGCACAGTTAAAACAGAGGCGATGTTGTGCCAGAAATTGCCTCCTGTCATCCACTGTTGATATCTTTGATCATTCCGAGGGAAGATGCGATGTATCATCACAATAGACACACCCACGCTGTTTTGGCTCCCTTTGTTGGGCGTTGAATAGCTTGTTAGATGTTTCCTGCCGGCGAGGGGCATAATTTTTCTCAGATGAATCGAGCGGGTTTCTTCTTGTCCACAGGCGAAGGGCTTCACATAATTTCAAGAAATTCCAGCTTTCCCACGAGTGATTGGTGCGAACAAGATCACCTCTAATACCTGGTAATTTATCCAGTGTCATTGATACGTTTCGGTTCACTTGATTTAATTTCCCCATTTGTCTCCAAAGAATGCATGCAATATGATAATCGCTCACTCAACTCATGAATCCTTTTTACATCTATGCCTGGAATAACTGGCAGATCCAAAATCTCTCTGTTGTAAGCCTTGATTATTTCTGATTCCTTGCCATATTTATCCATCAATATGCTTTTAAGGCGATTGTAACCCTCAGGTGAAAATCACAAAGCTTCTATAGATGTTCTCACCTTTGGAGCTAATAACTCCCGCAAATAAGAAAACTTGCTAGCGAAGCTCAAATTGTCAGTCGCTTTACTGTACTGCCCCCAGAATCATGGCCAGTCTTGAAACGTGCCATTGAATTTAATTATAACTAACTTCGGCAACTTCGCTTTTAAGCCAGTCGCTGAATTTATGCGACAGTTCTCCGCCATACCCCCTTGATGGTCTTGGAATTTTGCTGCATACAACTCACTTTGGAATTTCAACCAAGTTTTGAAGAGCGTCCACTCATATTCCAGCTCTCGTTCTCGGAGCTTCTGGCTATCTTCCCACTTAAGTTTTTCAATCCACTTTCCCAGGTGTAAAACATCATCGTCCGCTTCACTTATTTTTGCTTCAACTTCATCACTCCATTTCTCTATTTCTTGGACCTCTTCTTTCGTGGCAAACTTCTTCCCTTCTATTGTTCTTCTTAAGCTATCAATCTCACACGACAACTCCTTCAACACATTCACTTGCCTTTCAATTCTGTCATGCCTCCCGCTTTTGTATTTTTTCCTTCGTTCTTCCGCGGGTGAACTGAAGTGGATTGAGCTTTGCGTCGAAAGTTGACATTGCCTCTTTCATGCTTTAAGACTGAAGTAGTTTCACTGTATTTCAATTCCCTGCAGTTTATCTGGTCCCGTCGGAGGTGCCACTTGGTCGGGAATCTGGGCCCCCTTATTCATAGAAATCTATGACAATTCACTTGATGTAGCTTTATTCACAATAACGAACCCCGAAGTCACGGTTTTTGCAACTCACTCACTCACAGATATTTTTGACAGAACAAGCTGGTTTTGATAGTATGATCTTCTCCCTTTGACTCGCCACAACACACATGAAACCTAACCTATTTTATAATAAAGTGATTGACATTTAAGATTATTTCCACGATATCGATTAAGAAACCCAAATATCTCATCAGTTATAACGGTTCACTTCATGACTTCCTTGAACGTATCGGAGATCATGAGCTAATTATTTAGCAACCAACGTTGCCATCAACTTGAAATACAATAAAGCAAAAAGGTGAAAATATACTACGAAGTATGTATGCACACTATTGGCGCACAATTTTCAACAGTAGAATAATTATTACATGTAATGTCAACGGGTCTGTACTTCCACAAACACGAATGCTTTTTGTTGGTAGATTCGCTAATTTTGTAAGAAGTCCTTCTTCTCCTTGGGTGTCGAACAGGCTGTTAAGGTGGTGAAAACGGAGTCCAGAATCAGCAAATTTTTTGGCTTTAGACTTCTTCATTATTCTGCCACCCGAGGGATCCGCTATTATTCCATCAAATGACTTAAAAAGAGTGTGACTTCAGTCAAAGTTCATATCTGGGATGGCTGAGTTAATGTCGGTTGTGCCACTTTTGTTTGCAATTTTGGAGAGATACAAATGTAACTGCAGTGAGGACCTAAACAGAAATTTGCTTTTTGCCTTTACATCTTCGAGCGCATGATGACCCTGAAATTCAATACCGAATAGGTGTTTGTAAAGCACTTCTTGATGTATAATTACGAAGGATCCGTCATATTGTTTTAGCCCCGCGTGCTTTTCTTTTATCAAGTTGTCGAACAGGATAAGACTATCAGCAAATGAATTTTTAATTCCTTCAATGTCTGAAGAAGCTCTAGTGTGTAGTCTTCAATTGTTCTTAACAGTATATGTGCAGAACGGTTTTGTAACAAGAACCCTTTGAATCTGCAAGGAAATCAATAGATAATCGAAGACATCGTGAAAAGGAACTGTTTGCAAAATGTTGCCTCCACGGTACAGACACTTATTCCCTGCAACCCAAGATACTTTGAACTTGTTAACATGAGGAGCATCAAAAAATTTCTTTTGTCGGCGTTATAAATGTGAAAAATGACGTTCCTGTCTTTGTTTTGGCTACTAATTGAATGATTTCAGCTGGCTGTCTCCACAGCTTGTTTCCGTGTCAAATATTACAAAGATAAAGCCTATAACACTTCTTTTGTCGTCGGGACAAGTAATATACTTCTTAGAAGGTCATTCGCGAAAAACGGGTACATATTTTTTGCATTATTTTAATTCTTGTGGTGTGACAACCCATTTTTGTAGTACATCAGGGTCAAGGGTTACTGTAATGACAATTTTGTAGCCGATTTCCTCTTAATTTGATTCAGATTTGTTTCTCGATTTCGTTTTCAAATAGTTCAGCCTACGTCGTTGTTTAAATTCAACACTTCTGTCCTGCATTTCTCTCATAGTCAATCATTGCTATTTTTTGTTCAGTAATTTCACCTGGTTCTATATCAGCACAGTGTAAAGTTGTATTGTTTCCCCAGGTTTGTCTGAGCAACAGCAGCAGCAATTCTTTGATCTGCGCTTTCACTTCCTCCATAAAAACTTATTTTAGGAACTTTGGAAGGAAACTTTCATTGCCCTGAGAGGAAGCAATTTTAACTAGATTGTTAATAACAATGTCACTCGAGTATGTGCTAAATAAACTAGTTAGTTTCTTCTTCAGGTGTTCCCCCCTTTAAGTCTATGCCATTTGGGACGTCCTTGTGGGAAAAAGTGTCTCGATTTTGGAGCCACTTGTACTAGCTCAGCCGGTTTTCTTCACATTTTTTGTGTTCTCCAAATGCATGAGGCACAATGGGTCAAAGCGGCTCTCTGATTGGCCAGCTAGCGAGAAAGAGACCAAAAATTTTAGGTACAGGATAACTCCATTTTGGGGGTTACTTTAACTCCTATTTTAACTCCAAATCTGGGGTTATTTTTACCCCGTTAAAAAGAGTTATTTTGACTCACAGTCTGGAGTTAGAATAACTCTAAAAATGGGGTTATTTTTACGCCTTACATGAGTTGGTTTTATTCTTTTTGGGGTTACTTTAACTCCTATTTTAACTCCAAATCTGAGGTAAATTCTAGTCTTAAAAGAGTCGTTTTTACTCCCAGTCATGGAGTTAAAAAACTCTAAAATGGGATTAATTTAACTCCTTACATGAGTTGTTTTAACTCTTCTTTGGAGTACAAATTTTAGGTACAGGATACTCCATTTTGGGGGTTATTGTAACTCCTAAATTTTAACTCTAAATCTGGGGTTACTTTAACTCTATTAGAAGAGTAATTTTAACTCTATAAAACGAGGACTAATTTTAACTCTATCCGTTTTTACTCCAAATATGGCGTTACTTTAACTCTATAAAGAGAGTAATTTATCAGATGAGGAGTAATTTTTACCCCATCAGGTTTTACTCCCAAGTCTGGGGTTAAGTTTACTCTCCTCATTCGAAGTTCAAATAACTCCTCGATAAAATGTCCTTTCACTCTCCATTTAGGTTTCTTTGATTTTTTGGGATAATTTTTAATGCATTGGTCTCAATGACAGGACTAGTGGTAATTCTAACTTCCAAGTAAAAAACGATTCCTGCAAGATATATAGGAGCAAAGAAAAATAAATGTTGAGAGCTTTATACTACAGTAATAAACAAATCACTTTGTTAAAAAAAGCACAAACATTGAGCTATTTTATTGACTAAATATTTTCTCATATAATTATAAAACAATAACAAAGAGCAAAGCTGATCTGTACATGTTATTCGTGAAGGTACATGCACATAAGATTTGTTCCAAGACACAAAAATATAAATATTATTTTCCTTTCTAACAAACAAATATATTATAAAATTGTAATGTTGTTATGCAACAAAGCTTGAAATTTACAGTATTCCAATATATTATTATGTATATTTATAAAAATTTTAACATCTCTTAACACCCCTATTGTCATTCATTCAAAGTTTGAAAATGTAGATCAGACCATTCTCTCACACTGGATCAAAATTAAACCTTAACTCTGGTAATGATTAAGCAGAAGCTAGAACAACACCTAACATTTTTGCCCTTGTAAAACTGAAATCCACATTGAACAATTACATCGTAGAACCTTTTCAATAAGGACTTGAACTTTGCAAAGGACCAAACCAGGTATGATGCATGCATATATAAACAATGAATATAAATCTTTTACAATGTTTTCCTTGGATCTTAAAAGGAGAATGTTTTGTTCTCATTTAAAAAAAAAAAATTCGAGTTGTTATCATTTGCAATGGTCAAAAACAGCAACGACTATCTTAATCTAAAGTACAAATAAAAAAGAAAAACAGAGCCATCGCAACCATAATAAACCATAATCACAACATCTTATAAATTAAGACTTGAATTAAATTTGTTTAGGGCCTCTCTCTTTTTTGCTTCAGTTGGCATGTCAAGAAGAGTGGCCTCACAAAATAAAAATACGTTGCCAGGTTTGGCTTTGTAAGTAATGTTAAAAACATAGTAGCAGGCAGCCAGTAAACTTATGGCATTAGCCATAGAGGTGGAAGCTAATGTAAGGATGATTTCACCCTCTATGGCTATAACAAGGGGACCGAGGCACCAAAACTCTCCTTTCCCAACAATTCTCGGGAACCTGGTTTCCTCTATTGCTTGGTCGGTGCTTTCTCCTTCCTTTGAAAAGGAAAAAATACAGAAAATTAACTAGATGAGTTAGCAGTCAATTCCAGGACTTCCCGGAATACAGCAGCCCACTCCCGATAACTTGAACCCTCGCTAACTCAAAGCAAAATTGATTTTCCCTGGATTTTCTGCGTGTACTGTACATACATTTACTGCATGAATTTTACCCTCAGTAACTCAAACCCGTGATAACTTAAGTATTTTTGTGTCTCTTCAGATTATTTTTATACAGTTTTTAACCCACGATAACTTGAACCGAAGCATTGAATTTTTTTGAAAACAACCATGTAATCTTTTGACCATTTCCAGCACTGTATAGCAATCAAGCTTTATTTGATTATGATCTCTGGCTGCCCTTTTAGTGAAGTGTGCATGATACTGTACTTGCATTCCTCCAGCACCCTATATTCTCATTTCAGTTGTTTGTTTGGAACTTCTAATAACTCAAACTTCCAGTAACTCCACTTTTTTTCCCATTAAGCCCAGAAAGTAAGCATTTTTGTGAGTTGACTGTAATAACATTATCTTTAAGGAAATTTACAAAGGTATCTGAAAACCTGAAAAAACAAGAAAAATTACCTACCATGCAAATTTTCATAGCAGTGTGTGGGCTACCACCTTTTTCCTTGAGGAAGCGCGGCAACAAAGCCACTGCAGCCTCTTCAATGACTAAAAAACAAAAATGAAAAAAAAAATTGTTATAGAAATGTACCATGGAAGCTCTCCTAACAGGCACTTTAGAAAGCGGACATTTCATTGTACAAATCAAATCAAGTGAGCTCAGCTGTAACAGGCAGACGGGCAGAACGTTTTTTTGTAAGTGACCAGCGACCGTTACGGACACATTTTTTGTGTCCTGAGGGTGTCTGGTTACAAGCTTTCACTATTCTATCACTGTGAAGAGGTGGTAAACACTAACCCCCAATCCATGGACTATACATTGTATTATGCTATATAGTCGACTCTCTCTTAATGGACACCTCTACAAGACGGACACCTCTGTAAAACGGAAACCTAGAGTTGGTCCCTACTTTCTTTATTCCCCTTATTTGACACTCTATAAGACGGACACTTAGTGCCGGTCCCAAGGGTGTCCGTCTTAGAAAGACTTGACTGTACCACCAAAGATTCGTGGGTGAATCAATTCTCAGGTCAATGTCTCTAAATGGAACCTAGTTCACTCAATAATCTTCAGTGACAGCACATTTTAGGGTAGTCCATGAAGTGGGGGGTCATTAACAACAGAGTTTTTTTTTTTGGCAAAGGGGGGTTGGGCAGCGGGGATAGAAGGAACAAGCCAATTCTTATCAGTTGTATGAAATCAAAACGTATTATTTGTAGATAATTATATGGAACTGTAAGTAAGCATAATAATCATACCATCTGTTTTTGAAGGGTTATCCGAAATGCCATCGTTCATCAAATCTAGGATGTCTTTGGATCCATGCTGACAGCGAGCAAATTTCAAAATTTTCTCCACCCAGTTCTGCTAACTTTTTATGCCATTTCCTTTAAAGGGTTTCCTTGTCCCAAAATGCGCGCAAACTCTGCCTTTATCTAGGACACATAACAAGAATAAGCATGTTACTTTGATTGGTTGCATCTTCTGATTAGAATAGTGTATACAGTGTAATTATAAGATTGCTTTCAATTTTTTCCCTATTACCAGTATGCAAAGAAAGTAATGCAAAGAAAGCCATCTCCAGATTAACAGCTCCTGTGTTTGTACAAGTAAGAAAGACTCTGTAATGCTTGGCGGTCTTGTTTCTGGTGATCTTGACGTTAAAATTATGGTGCGAAATAATTACATGCAGTGATGTTAAAGGGTGGTGTATAAGGCGCCAATCGAGGTGGAAGTAAATTTGCCATAAGTTTAGTTTCAGCTTTGTGTGCCATTTCACAACAGAAGCCACACTTGAAGTTGACTGACTTGCTCAGCTTATTTCCTTTCAGAATACAGAACTTTCTTCTAGTCTTGGCGTTGTGGCTCCTACCATGTGTATTTCCCGGGTAATGTCATCTTCCACATGAAGTTGTCCTGGAATGTGTTGCCACTGTCTTGGGCTAGAATTACTTTGAATCTCGCCGACTCTTGAGGATACAAAAGGTTTGAAGCTTCCGTTGAGTTCAATTCTTGACTCGTAAATGGTCTTTGCTTGGCATGATGCTAGCACGGCAGCCTGAAGCTCTAGGTGTGGAATGGTTAGCTGTTTCAGTTGTGCCACCTTAGACTTCGCTGCTTCGAGTTTCACTTCATATTTATCATTCTTTCCTCTTTGCCGGATATATGCGCACACCCCAAGGTTTCTTGTGATGTATCTGCACAGTGATGCTTGGTCGGTGGCGTTAACTTTAAAGAGTCCTCTTGGGAAGGACACGTAATTGAGTTCCATCATCTCGTCCACTGAACTTGAATTGTGGGCAGTAGCTCCTCGTCCCATCCAATTCCTAACTGCCACAGGTGTTGGATAGCAATCTTTGCCATAATTAGAAATGCCGAAGCCGGCCCGATAGGGTTGTAGATAGTGTGAGTTTACTCAGTACCACTCGCTTGGTTAGCTTGACTTGGCCTTGATCTGTAACCTTTGATACTTCAACAAGTCTGCCTTGACTTGGAAACGAAGCCCGTCAGTCTTGTGATTCCATACGACTCCTAAAACTTTTTCTTCTCTTTCGAATACCTCCATTACATCTGAAATCTATCACTTTCCTTCTTCTTAGTTTCATTCTTTGCCAGATCTTTGTTAGAGATCCATTCTTTTAATACCGAAACCTCCTTTAGCCAAAACGCTGTTGATTCGTTGCTGAGTCCTTGTGCTTCTTTAATAGTGTTAACAGAGTCACGGATGTCATCCATATAAACGTTGTTGGTCAGAACATCCACTGCTTTAGGGTTGGTGGCTTGACCTTCTTGCGCTGTTTTGCGAAGAGCAATTTGCGCCATGGCCGGAGCTGGCTTGTCCCCAAAAGTTAATACTGTTTTCATGAATTTGTCCAGTTCTCGGCTTGTGTCCTCCATAGAACACAGGGAACGTGCTAATCGTGCGGAGGTATCAAAACGCGGTGATACACCTTGGAAATATCACTAACTAAGGCCGCTTCCTTTTCTTTAAAACGCAAAACAACTCCAAAGAGATTGTTCAGCATATGGTGACCTTCAAACACAGACGATGAATTAAACACCATACGAACAGGGGTACTTTTCTTCTCATGCCTGACGATCACATGATGAGGGATGTAATGGACTGGGCCTTTGTAATTTTTAATTTCCTCCTTTGTTGACTTTCTGCAAAACTTCATTTCCTGCATCTTCCTCATTTGTGCATCATTGGCCTTTGCATGGTCTGGGCTGGATTTTAGCTAGCGTTCTGTTAATACTAAATATTTCAGTGCCAATGACGTGCTGTTCGAAAGAAAGTTTGGATCTTTTCTCCACGGATAGGGTACCATCCATTGGTTGCCAAGACGCGTAGCACGTGTAGCAGGCGTAGCAAGTGTAGCAAGCGTAGCAAGTGTAGTAGGTGTAGGAGGCGTAGCAAGTGTAGCAGGCGCAGCAAGTGTAGCCACAGGCGGCCCAAACTCACGTTGCAAGGGAAGGGTGTAATATAATTTACATAACATAGATGACGTGCCGGTGTCGCGTTACAGGCGACCGTTGAAAATATAAGAGACTTTGTATGAGAAATATATTACTGACAGTGCCGTAGCCAGACCAAACGGCCAACTGAGGCAGGCGGGAGTTGCTAGGGGGGTTCGGGGGCATGCCCCCCCCCCCCCGAGAAATTTTGAACTTAAGTCTCTCGGAAATGCGATTTGCAGCGTTTTCTGGGCCTTTCGGTAACTTTTTTTCGAGTTAATTTAAGTGAAATTTAAAAAGCAATAATCAGAAACAAGCTACATAATCTGGGTGACCGTTAACCTAGCCAATGGTTTTGATCAGTATTTGTTCAAAAAAAATTTGAGTTAACGTACGTAGCCCCTTGAGATCGATGATATGGTAATTTTTTCATAGCATATTGACTGAATTGCTGAATTCTTTGTAATATCATGATGCGTTAAAAATATATATTAAAAAAAGAAAAGCAAGTAAACCTGACAGAAATAATTGAATGAAACAAAGAAGCTACCACATGCAGATCTTTAATTGGTAAAATTCCACTCAAGTTTACAAATCGTGTTATTGATTGAACGCAAGAGCGATTCGTCTATGGCCACTGGCGTCCCAGCGCTCCAAAATGGTTAGAGCCTCCAATTGCATATAATCGTGAACATATGCTAACGAAAGGGAGTTCAGCCGATCAGAACCCATAGACGAACGGGACCATGTCTTCAATCGGCGTAATGAACTAAAACTGCGTTCACATGAGCAGCTTCCGACAGGTAGACTGAGAATAAGCTGTAGGATAGTTGAGATGTTTGGATAAAGAGTGCTGTCGCAGCATGAAACAGACTCCGTAAGTGAGTTGACGCCCTTGTTGCTCTTCTGGGTTTCTTTCCATCTAATAACCTAGGTGAAAGATATAAAAGCAAAAGTTTAAATTGAAAACTATAAACAGCTGTTAAGAACAACTTGCGTTGACCTTTCATGAGTTACAAGTAGTATTACCTCCTGCTCAAAAGTCTGCGGCATGGGGAGTTCTTTATCCAACTCAGATTTGATTTTACTCTCCTCTGCCTGAGTCAGTTGGTCTAGATTGGCAGGTATAAGCAGTGCACCCAGTAAAGCACCCCTGAGATCTTTAGGAAATCGCTCTTCCATGTGCCTGATAACATGGTCCAGAAAAGGGTAGAAGTAATTCAGCCTTAGAAATAACAAGCAAATAAAAAAATAATAATACAAATGATTAGTTTAGGAAAACGACAACAACACGAATTGATTTAAAACTTTCAAGTAAAAATTATTTGCTTTTCTTATTGACATCGTGATCAAAAACGTAAATACCTGTAAAATTCTTCAATTGATTCAGCACGTGCGTTTGCACGATGGGCCTGTCTGCCGGTGGTTCTGGGTTTGGAAGGCAATACATCGATTGTTTTAGCTATTGTGGCGGCTCTATCGAAAAGCATCTTGAACTTTTCCTCACTCCTTACGCCGTTTAAAACGGACACAAGGTGTCTTGCTTCGTCGTGGGCTTTTATTAAGTCGCACGACTTTGATTGGAGCAGAACGGATAGAGGACGTGTATAACCCAGGATGTATTGAGTTAGCACCGCTGAAATAATGAAATGGAACTGCTCCATGGCACGTAAAAAGGCGGATGCATCATGGGATGCCTTGCCTGTTGACTGCAGCATGACTTCAGATACAGAATTGTATATAGCTGAGTAATTCACCAAAAGGGTACTGATGGAATCAACTCGTGAAAGCCAGCGTGTGTCGCTCAAGGTTGGTAAACATTCACGGTTTGAGGCGGCCGAAAGATTTTCCTCTTCGTGCTCTTCCAACGTACAGTCTGCCAGAAGTTCTTCAGCATCGGAAGCCGCACCCATTTTCTCCTTTAGAATATCTTTTCTCTTGGCAGAGTAAGAAAAAAACAGTGTTACTTGCTGGAACGTTGTCATAAAGTTGCTGATTTCACGCACGTCATTGCAGCTTGCGACGATGACTAGGTTTAGGCAGTGGCTTGAGCAATGGGTAAAGTACTTTGCTTTTGGAAATCGGGCAGTGATCCTTGCCTGGACTCCTGCATTAACTCCACTCATTACCGACGCCCCATCAAACCCCATTCCACGGAGACGCTCAAGATCGACACCCCATTTAACAAGGTGATTAATCAAGAGATCGGATATGGTAGCTGCATCAGTTCTCGGTAGCGGTACAAACCCCAGGAAGACTTCATCGACTTCAACTTTGTTGGTAGCAGATGACATGCCAAGGTATCGTACACAGACAGACAGTTGCTCTATCGTCGATACATCAGTTGTTTCGTCCGCCATGATGCTGATGAACTTGCTCTGATTGACATTTGAAACAAGGGTACTGCGAATAACCTCACCAAGACAATCTATCATTTCGTTTTGGACTTGTGGCGATAAATAGCGTGCGTTTTTTGCAGCCGACGACAAGTGATCAGACAGGTTGTTATCATATTTTGCCAGCCAGTGAATAAAATATTCAAAATTACCATTATCTCTTTTAGCAGATTTGTCCCACCTTCCTCTGAATGGAATACCTCTTTTGGCTAGAAGAATCACCACGTCAAGAATAGAACATAGGGTATCTCTGTTTTTCTGAACTGTTTCTGAGTAGCTACGATTCAGGGATTCTTTGATAGACTCTTTCTCTTTTCTAGCCACGAGCATAAAGTTTTCGGCGGCGACCATTGAACTCCTGTGACACTTTGTCAGCTCATGGTTTGTGAGAATGCCTCTTTTAGCACCTATAGCATTTTTCCAGTCCTTGAAAGGAGCAGAAACTAGTGGGTCATTCGAAGTAGACGCATTGGCAAAGGTAAAACAGCATGAGCAGTATGCCCCATCTTCTGATTTCGAATAACGCAACCAAGGAAATCTATCCTCCCACTCAGGATTATACCTCCTCTTCTGAGGATTCACAGGGTATTGTATTCCCTTTTTGGAGTCGACTGGCTTCAAAATCGCTTTTATATCTGCGTCACTGAGTTTGTTTCTGTGAAGTTTTCCAAGGTCACGAGGATCTGTATTCACATAAATAAAAGAAATGATTATAAGCTAGTTGTTTTTGTAGCATTTACAGCACTGACTGTTCTATATTCGACGGGCCCCACTGTAAAAACTGTCTGGTTGAAACAGCGAAAATATCTGCATGAAATGCAGCTGAGCAGAAGCCTTACAATTTGGCTGAGATAACTGTTGATTACTATATAGTAACCAATAAACTGAATGATATATTCCTTGAAATATTCCAGGAAATTGTTATTCAACTAGTCAAAGCAATGCGGACCTTTTGTTGTTTATTGTATAATTGGCTAAAAAATATTTTCATTATCATGAAGTGACAAATCATCTCAGTTGTTTGAACCAGTCAGATTTTAGAGTGGACCATCTCAAATACTTTGATTAGACTAGTTAAGGAAAATAGTCGAGTTGCTTGTATTCAAAAAAAATCTTTATTTAATCACATCATGTTTGAAGCCGATTTGCATTACAGTAATCTTCGACCATATGACTAAATTTGAAGCATTATACTTTCACCAAATCTTACATTTTTATGCCCATATACAATATCAGCCCATAAATCAGATTGGGATCCCCAGAAAGATGGAGTTACAGCTAATTGGGAAATATGAGGAGAGCTGTCTAAAATATCCATTACTAATTCTGGAGCAAATCGGCAGCTCCATTCAGCTTTAAATATCTGAAGAAGTGGCAACACCAGACATACTTCAACAAGCCCTGTTATTTGGTGCTCGCCTTCCAATTGCAAGCAGTTAGAAACATCCGGAACTTTCAGTGCCTTTCACTTTTTCAGGTTATAAAGCATATTTTGGGGGTCAATGCTTGTGCATCCTTCAAGAATAAGTTTTTTTAAGATAGGCATGCTTTGTAAAAATGCCAAGTCAACAATAGATGTGTTGTAAGATAGATCAAGTTCTTCTATGTTTATACACGAAGAAAGACACCCTTCTATGAAACCCTCTGAGCTATTGTAGCTTACAGCCTTTTGCGAGTATTTTAAAGCTAAAACTTTAAAATCACGAGCATGAGTCATAATGAGTTTGAATGATTCTACACTAAACTCTACACTTGACTCCAGTGTGGACCAGAGTTCTGGGTATGTCACGGTAATCAAATAAAATCGGCGACATACTAAGCCAATCCCTAACATATTTCCCTGAATCGTCTGATATTTGAATATCTTGATCAAGATTTCTGTAGGGAGGTTTTCCAGCCAAGATGAAGGTGTAAAATCGTTTGTCTTGACATCTAAGTAACAATTAAAGTACTTAAATCAAATTCTGACAAATTTAGTGCTTTCCATTCTGCCCATGAAAAATCTAAATATAGTCACTAGAGATTACAAACATTATAACCATGGCATAACCCTGTACTTTTGTTTATACTGACCTTGGCGTGAAACATTGCTATCAATTGCTTCGACGGCTTCAACCTGAACTTCGTCCTTCTCTATCGGTGTGGCACTGGCAGTGTCACTGCAATCACTGGAAGTTGAATCGCTAAAAAGAAGTTTTTTTCAACAAATTCATTCCCAAATTTTATAAACAAGTAATTTAAACAAACACTTGGTGCAACGATTCCCTCTACTTACCGTTTTCTTTTTAAAAACGATTTAATTGAACGCTGCATGCTTCGAGCTCAACAAAATGGCGGATCGATCAGACCATGCTGAAAGCAACCGCTGTACAAATGTATAGACAGACTTCGTGACGTCGCACATGAAAGCGAGGTACTTCCGGTGTACCGAGAGGTTTTTTGTACTGACATGCCTGCAGTATTAATACGGCGAAAATTTTGGTTATATATATATTTTTTAACTGTTATATTTTGGCCACGAAATCTTTTCTGAGAGGCTCCGATGATCGCTTATGTAAAATAAAAATGATCGGCGAAATTCGTCAAAATTTTACCGAGGCGAGTGCCTCGGTTGGCCTCATACTAGCTACGGCGCTGAATGAGATCTGCGCACGCTAAATAACGCAAAAACTTACTTTTTCTTAAATGAACTGAAGAAAAAAGACTTACCTGCAATATATTACACTGCGTTTTCGTGTCTGTTTGTCGTTTTACTGTTTTTTTGGCTTTATTGCGTAACCACTGTTACTCCTTTCATAGAACGAAGTGAAGGCTGGCCACTTCGGTCTGTCGGGGTCCTGGACCAGTCGCAACAAGAATGTCGTTTTTTCACCGAAATTCAAATCCACTGCAAATGTTTCGGCTCCGGCCTAAGAGGGAAACCTCTTCTTCCTCTCTGGGAGATCGGCTCGAAAAAAGATCCATAATTTCCCCATTAAATCGAGCCATTTGTGCCGGACTTCAAGGCAGGTCTGGCTTTCGTCCAGTGCCTGTGACCACTGTTGCGCCTACCAACTAATTTGCATTATGACAATTAGCACTTACACGACGGGTGACAGGGCGGAAATTACACGTCAACTAGGCTCTTGCACTGTTAAAAAGCGAGTGCTTGCAAGTGTAGCAGGTGTAGCAAGCGTAGCAAGGGCAACAAGTGTAACAAGCGTAGCAAGTGTTGCAGGTGTAGCAGGCGTAGCAAGTGTAGCAAGCGTAGCAAGCGCATCAAGTGTAGCAGGCGTAGCAAGCGTAGCAAGTGTAGCAAGTGTAGCAAGCGTAGCAAGTGTAGCAAGCGCAGCAAGCCTAGCAGGCGTAGCAAGTGTAGCAAGCGCAGCAAGTGTAGCAAGTGTTGCAGGCGTAGCAAGCGTAGCAAGTGTAGTAAGCGTAGCAAGTGTAGCAAACAACTTGGCCAAGAATTTTCATTGCTTGCATGATAAGGACCCTTTTCGGTGTAAACTCTCGACGATCACAGACTGTGATGTCATCTCTACCTTCTTTGGTAAAGGGAAGTGGAAAGCAGTCCCACTTCCCCGACACAATGAAGGATACGTTCGAGCTATGATGAGTAGAGGGGAGGAGCGATGAGTTGCCGAGCTCGAGGAGACCTGTAAATTAAAGATACGGAAGCAATCGTGCAGTGTGGCAACTATACTAAAAGAAGTGTCATAGTGTTGATGTGCTGAATATGAGATCCACCACGGTAGACCGGCAGGAAAGTCAAGCTAGAGACTCTGCTGCCATGCGAGTCATCTCTAAGAGATTAGAAAAGCAATTATCAGGCCGCAATATGGAGGGACATTCCTCTGCTCCCCTCATTGGCACGTTGACTAGAGTATGCATCTAGCTCTGACGTCGCGTCGTTTGTGCGTCTTGTACCTAAGCCGGCTCCTGAAGAAAACTACTCTCCTGTACGTGCATGAAAGCATAAACTATAATTATCTTCTACTCTAAGAATGTAACGTATTGATACAGATAAGTAGGTTTGCAAGTAGAGCAGAAAGATTGTTACTTTTGTCATCTTTTTTATTTTGTATTTTCAGGTTCGATAGTATTTAGATCCCTCTTGACAAGACATGTTATGTTTTATATTTGTATTTTTTTACTGGAACAACTGAACGCTAATCTACAGGAAATCTCCCTTGGATAGTGCACAGAAAACAGGTACAGTTTCATCTACTTACCCCAGAAACACTGCAGCAATTTTTGGCATTGCCATCTCCAAAGTAGACGATGCCGATAGTTCCACAAAGTCCACAAACAACATCATCCATGTGACGACATGTCAACAGTTCGAAGCAGTAAAACGCGTTGTACATCACATCACCCAGGTAGTCAATTGTGTTTGGGTTTGGCACACGATCCTTTGGCAAAAAGCAGAAACAATATTATTCATATGTAAATAAAGACTGGAAACTATCTACACCCCCACGTGTTGACCTAATGCTTGTCATCTACATGTACATGTTTATTGACCTGCAACCCGACAGTAAAGCAGAATATACGCAACTGATCTATGAGTTTTATGTCAGGTAAATTGAAACCCTTAAAGGACTAATGAAAAACAAGGTATTTTTAAAATAATAATCATATTATATTTCATAATATTATATTTAAGAAAAAGCACCCCACTTAATAAGGAAAGTACGCATTTAAGCAGAAATACTTTTTTCAGCTACAGTATTTCAAAATATTGATACTGTTTATTTTCAAAATGATAACTGATATACGTTTAACATTATTCTAATAACTTAATTTCAGTCTTGTAGTAGTTTATTACAGCGTATGTGCTCTACTAATGGGAAGACTACAAAGCAAATTAAAGGAAATTAAATCAAATGAATTACTAGTCAAATGAGATGATAGCTTTTGTTGAGAAGGGAAAACTGGAGTACCCAGCGAAAAACCTCTTGGAGAAGAGTCAGAACCAACAAACTAAACCCACATATGCCGTCGAGTTCAGGAATCAATCCCCGTCCACATTGGTTGAAGGAGAGAGCTCTCACCACTGCACTAACCCTGCCGCCCCCCCTCCACCAATACTGAGTATAAAATAAAAGACAGAGGATGTACGTAATAGCGAGAAAAAAAGAATCAAACACTAACCTGTGGAACAGTAAGTAGCAAAGACTTGAGCTTGCAGTCTATGGTTGTGGAAAGTGGTACATTTCTCTTGAACAATTCCCTCCACTCCAAGAATATTTCAATTGCAATGAGAACTTTTTCTCCTGCATTAAACAAACCTGGAAAATGGACGACGAGATATGTATTAGAAAATATAAGATATTAGGAAAAGTGAGATATACTAAATAACTTCTGGAATTATAAAATGGTAGGGGCTGATCGCAAAGAATAAATTATTGGAATCAGAAGGGAAAACAATAACATTTTTATTATCGGTTGAGAGCGTAAATGTAGTGCACCAGTTAGCAAAAAGTTGCATACTGGAGAAAAAGAAAAACAAAATTACAACCTTTGCTTCTAATATATGCAACAACAACAACAACAAAAATGGAAAACTGGTTGAACTGTACTTGGATTGCATTCCAGACTTTTACATCTACACGCTACACGCATTTACAAAGAGATTTACAGAATTCGCACTTAAAAAAAGCAACCCACATGAAGTGCTGAACAACCGAAAATAGGTCCTAGACAGTTAAATGGACACTGTTTGATGGATTTCCGGTAAAAGATCACCAACATATGCATACTAGGCGAGTTTCAAAAAACAGTATCATACCAAACAAAAATTGAACCATAAACAGAATTAACCATATTAACAACCACAAGAAAAGACAAAACCTACTACAGTGTGCACACCTAAATCATAAACTTGGAGCTGGTGCATTGCTTGACAGGCTACATTTTGGCACATTCTCGCTTTCACATTCACCGGCAAAAAGGGATTGCTATTGGTTATTAAAAAAGCTTTTCGCTGTGTACCAGGGTGGCGTCTTGTTGGATGAAGCCTGGACCCACATAGGCGGCAGATCACATCAACAGCAGTAAACTCCTTTGGCCATACACCATCCATACCACAAAGAGTGCGGCTATCTGCATTACGGGAAGCACTTATGACACTTAAAGGAGTATGATATGGATGGTGAGTGGCCTGAGTGTGTTTTAACGTAGATGTTCTTGCAACTGAAGATGTTGGAATGGTACTTGATGTGTCAGTGGAGGTGCATGTGGACACTGCTGCGGTTGGCGTTGTTGAACTAGCAATTGCTCGTGAATGGAGTTTCCACAAACGAAGAGAACATGACAATAAATGCACATGCAAGCACACATGCTGTGTTTTTAGCTGTTTTCCACCACTGAAAATCCGGCAGTGCTTCACGGAACACAACAGTGTGTCATTGTGATTCTTGACGTGGACAAATCCAGTTGTGGCAGAGGTATCAGGAATACCACAAACCACGTAACTACTTTCCGATACTCGGATAACTTGTGCGACACCAAGCGGTTTTGCATAATCAGCAACATCTGTCATATTCCTTAATATGTCAGCCCCACCAGGATACTCTGCCAACTTTTCTGAATTTAAGTGGTGTTCTTCCCTTGAGGGCACGTTGTCCTTTACCTTTTCCAAATGGGGACAGGAGAATGTATTAAGTAGTTCTTGGCCAGAAGCAACTGCTAATGCACGTAAGTTTGGACAAGAATTAAAATAGCAGACCCGACTTGAGCCAGCCACCAAGCAAAAACTTCTGTAATCTCTGTCGGTGACTTTAATTGAATAAAGTAAATTGTCAGCAAAGAAACAGACATATACTGCCTCTGGGTTGTTTAACTTCCTCTTTCTATTTGAAGAGGTGCCTTTCTTAGGAACAAACTTTCCTCCAAGATAAATCTGGCACTGTGTGCATCTTTCTGGCTTCCTGAAAGTTGAGTATGTAAAAGTGCACTTTGGGCACTTGCCGGTACCCCTAGCAGTCCACTTTTCTTTTCCGGATATAACTGAACTGAAACAACAAATAGCTTCAATCTGTAAATAGCTTCCTTATATTCACCTTAATGTGTGATCTTTTCATCCAATGTTATGTAATAACTAAATACTCTACCACAATTCTACACTCACGCTTTGGAATACTCTACCACAATTCTACACTCACGCTTTGGCGATGTAATAACGTAATAAATAAAAACTCTACCGCAATTATATACTCGCCCTTTGGCACGCACATATGTATACTAACAATCACGAAAAGAGAATTACATTTCAAAACAGCAGCACGACAAAGTAGTAAATACACCGAAAGGCACGAACCTTAACTGACCAGGTTAGTCCAGTTTTTACCAGTTGGCTAAATCTGTTTAACGTAGATATAATATTGGGGGGTGCGCTAATAATTTTTTCAAAGAAATCGAGAAGAGGTGAAAGTGAGAACGCACTGACTGAGTGTAGTGTGCGTACAAGAGAGTGCGTGCAAACTCTATGGCGAAAAATCTCTATTGTCTTTTAAAGAATAATACGCTCTGCTACGCTTGCTACACATTAAACTGTCTCGGCCAATCATAGAGCCACTTCAGCGAGGTACTGGATTACTGCCAAAATAGCAGTAATTTGCGACAACGGAACGGCAGAAACTTCTTCACTGATGCTGGGTATTCCGAAAGCCTTGATGGAGTATCTCCTACCGTCATCTAATACAGTATACCTTGTTTTGCAGGATTTCCTCGTCACCTCCGACCTTTGTTGTCGTCACAGAGGTTTCCTTTTCTTTTAACCCGAAGGTCGACGCAGTGTCGTTCCTTATTAAGCTCACTTGAGCCCCCGTGTCAAAGAGGGTATTTGCATGTTTCTGGACCGTGAATATTTGCGGTAATTATAGGCAGAAGTGCGCTGTGGGTTACCGCTGTATCTGTCATTGTGATCCTGAACGATTTGCTCTTATGGAGGATGGTGTGATGATATTGATTGCATTAAGCCCCGTCCTCCGCTATGGTACATTGCTGCCTTTGAGTACAGTTTGTTGCTCTGTGATCTCGTCCGGGTCTCCTCACACAGCTAAAACGTACGTGATTTTCTTTCGCCATTTTCAGTCGTTCATCAATGCCGAGAGCAGCAAATTTAGGGCACTGGTCTGGCCAATGGGTGGGGTTCTTGCATAGCCAGCATTTGTGATTGTTTTGCTTCGTCTCCATTTCGCCTTCAGCTTTAAGATGGTTGACATGGCGTTGGCTGGTTGATTGTACAGGTGCAGTGGCACGCATGCGCGATTTCATTTCTACTGACATCCACTCTATGAGAACATTTAGTGTAGCTGACTTTCCGTCTCGTGCAAGATCTCTCAACCACACCATCCTGTCATTTATACAGCCAAAAGAAAAAAACAATGGTATGTTTGGCTAACATACACTGTGAAGTATTATCAACTTATAAATTGGCGGCATCTGCTGAGTAGCATCTTCTTAAAATATTATCTTAACTTTAACCTGCTGCATTTGCATCAATACTAAAATAGATTGTTGTTAAGTCAGCTATTGTTTGAATAAAATTTTGGGAGTCTAAATGGCTGGTAGCTTATAAGATTTTCAAGTCACTAAATGACTGACAGTCCTTTCTGTACCTTGTTTATATTTACTTCGTTTGTAAAATAATGTAAACAAGGTTTAGGGATGTAGGGTTAGGGAACAAGAAACATAATTGTTTAAATTAAGTATTATCCATTTAATGTTTTGAAATGTTGACTGGCAGTCAGCCTCACAACAGTCTATTAAATTGGATCATTGTACCTTATTCGTACTTAATTTCGCGATTTTCGTGAGACAGTATTTCGCGAGACTTTATTTTCGCGATATTGATGGGCGGAAACGATAAAAGATCATTAAATTTCGCGAAAGCGTTGTCAACGTCATTTTATTTAAAAAAAAAAAAAACGTCTGAACTACACCTTTCTAAACAGACTGGAACAAGTTGAGATTAGGTACATAGTGTCCTAGAGTCCGCAATGTTCCTAAACATCCAGGTCTTCAAAGGGATCTTCCGGTGAAAGTTTCTTTGGGCCACTAACAACATCAGTTACAGCCTCCTTCCATCCTTTTTCAATTGACTGTCTGCCTTCAGAGCTAGACAATTCGTTGCACATGCTAACGATCCAAGTTGCATGAATTGGTTTGAGAACGGAGAGTCGCAGGTCAACATCAACATCATCGAGCACCACCCCTGAATCTAGTTGACTTTGAATTTGCGCCTAGTACCAAGACGTGAATTGGTCTTTCATAAACTTTTTTGCTAATATATTGTATTCATAATCTGGATTATTTTTGGCCCACTTGCCAACCTTCGTGGCAGCAACACTGGGAAATACTTAAACTGCCCCAGTGCATCAACGTACTGGTAAAAGACGTTTTTTTTAGAGAAAGTACTTTCAGTTCATTTTTTCGCAAAGCCAGCGTAACTTTGGGCACCTTAGGTCCAGGAACGTATCCAATTGCGCCCCAATGTGCTTCATCATTTGTGAGAAGTGCAGCTTTGGCTTTTAGTCCAATGGCATTTTCACCTCGTCTGTTTGCTGGCTCTGGGAAGAATCGTACCTCAGGCTGTTTGTTCTTCACTAGCATCTCCTTGCATACTTTCAAATAAGTATTGAAAATGTTCGTGATACCTTC